AGAAGTATCTTTATAATTGTGGTCATTCTCCAGATCAAGAAGTTGCTGAGAGAAAAAAGGCTCGAGGACATCGTGGATGAGAACTTGCACACTTTTGATGCCAAAGAAGTCGAGACAATTCTTCGGGTTGCCTTGCTTTGCACCCAGAACTCACCAGAAGACCGTCCAACGATGGCAGAAGTTGTAAGCATGCTGCACGGAGTGGGATTATCTGCAAGATGGGCAGAGTGGGAGCAGCTTGAAGAAGTTAGAAATCAAGAATTCTCCCTCATGTCCCATCAGTTTCTTTGGGCTGATGAATATACACAAGATCAAGAAGCTATTCAGTTGTCTCAAGCAAGATAAGTAAACAAGATCACCAGTAGCCTGTGTACCACATTGGTGAAAAATCTCTGTAATTCTATAATATCATTCTAAAGCTATTTCACAAGTAAAATTACCCACGGCTTGGAACTAGGGTTTTGTATGACTATAGTTACTTCAGCATATGAATGGCAGGTTATGCTATGCATAACATATGGATAATCTAATAGTAGGATTTTCCTGCCTACAGCTTAAGACTAATATATGTTTGATATGCAATTTTGGTGGATTTTCTTGAAACACATTGCCGAGCTTGAAGTAGTCTTCTTAGGATATATATATTGTTTAAAAAAAAACATGGATTAACGGGTGGTCGTGCTAAATTGTCAGATTCTTGTTCTGTGCGGGACACTCTATATCTGTTTATCTATTACTATTATAATCATGTTTCTTTCTTGAATTTGAATTTGAATTGTGTGTGACTCTATATCTATCTGTTTTCTGCTACATAATATAATCATCTTTCTTCATTCTTCTTGATGCCTAATGTACCCCTATTAATCAAATTTCTTATTCTCGATTGTCAGCAAAAATCCCATTAAAACATATAATTTTTCTAATTAATAAAAAGTACATGTAAAGACTGAACTATCTTCAGGTCTTTTTTTTTTATCTTATAATTTCTCTCAAATTGTAAACCATTATCAGGCAATCCATTGTTTGGCTCTATGCATCATCTGTTGCCCATATTTAAGTTATGATCCTTCTTAGGTTATATAATTCTAGACTAGATCCCTATTGATTTTTTGCTGGAATAGTTGAGAAAATTTCCATGCTTAGTATTCAAAGAAAATCTTATAAATTGACCAAACTGAAGCAAAAATATTTCTCCAAAGTAGCCCTGAATAATATTACTGATTATATAACTCACTAATGGAGTCATATGCTATGGCGTTACAAATCCAATTATGTTTTGTTTTTTCTTGCTGAATCTAGCTACAAGAGTTTTAGTAACAGATAAGTTGATATTATCTCAGGGATTTCATGTGCCTGATCATAATTCTTTGAATGTATATGCTTGCTATACTTTATATCAATCAATTTAGTTAATTTGTTCATTAGCAAGTTGTCTTTACATCAATTTTTCTTTCTCAAGTTGATTAATAGTGTTCCCATTTGTGTGCTGAGATTACTCATGAATTCTACGAAGCAATTGTCTTTAACTACTAGGAAGCCTGTTTCAAGATTGAATCATTAGCCCTACCATAATAGTTGTAAATGGAAAAATACAATTACCCTTTTCAGATAAGAAAGCAACTCTGTACTAAAAATAAGAAAAGAGAAAGAATATTAGAACAGCACATTCTATTGGTAAGTAGCTAAGCAAAATTTGATCTACCAGCCAAAAAATCCCATGTTGCTTTAGGTTTAAGGAAAAAGCAACTTAACGCTCTAGGTATGAATTCAACTATATTTCATATAACATGGCAGAAGGAGGGACGTTTCTTTCTTCCTTTTTTTTAGACGTGAAAAAGGCAAAAAAAAAAAAACCAAGATTTTAGAAACTCTTTTATATTCTCTTAAAATATATAATATTTTCCATCATGTCCTTGGAAAATTAGCCTTTGTCCCTCAAACATTATGCAAAATGTAAAAGAATTCCTTTTTAAGTTGTTGAACTCTCTCCTGAAAGTACAAGTTTTGTAGGGTTTTCTTCTAACTACAATAGAGAATTTGTTGGGGGGGGGGGGGGGGGGGGAGTGTGGAGGAACTTCCTAAGCTTGGTAAGTAATCTTCTCTAAAAATCAATTGTGTGTGAACTTTCTTGATTGCTCCAAGTATTTAGGACACCTTTATGATAACTGAGATCTCTAGCTATGAAGGAAACAAAGACTAGACTAATCCATCTCTATTCCACAATTTTGGCTTTAATCCCCCTATCAATTATCATTTAAATGCCTATATGTTTGTTTGGTACTAAACATTTAACGATAAAGGGATGAAATGAATTAATAATCTTATCTGTACTCTTCCCAGGCTATTTTGCTTGCCAGGCTTTGGGTGTCTTTCACTAGCAAACAAGTTTCCATGCACCCATTCTGACTTTGAATTTTATCTGTTTATATTAGTGGGAAGGACACACCCTATGTGTATGTAATATAAGACAAAAAAAATGTCATTAAAATAGGACAAAAAAAAAAAGGCAAATGATTTTTTAAGTATGTCAACTAATACATTTTTATGCTTTAATTATAAAATAGAAAATGTGAACAAAAAGATGTTGGGAGGACAAGGAAGTCTAGCAAGTGTGGTGGTTAATTTAACATGATAATTGAACATGGAGATGTTGAGTTACAATTAATAGATAACAAAAAAAACATTTAGTTACACTTTTTTTTTGGAGTTACACATTTTTTTAAACACCATAGCTGGTAGAGAGTTTATTATTGTAGTAGAGATTTTACGGCCAACTTTGCTAATTAGCATCATTATTGATCTGCATGAGGTTAAATACTTTTGGCTACCTACCGGTAATTTACTTTTTAATATGAAAAAAAATAAAGAGACAGAGAGAAAGATGTAACCAAGGACTTGGATGTTACATTCATCTTTTCAATTAAGAAACTATATTATATACAATCAGAAATGGAAAACCACATACTCCTTTTTTTTTGTTTTCTTTTCTCTTAAACATGTAAGTTATATATCTAATGATGCAAAACAATTTTGGTTCAACAATTTAAGTCAGAACTTTAGCATGTGTGGATGTGTTTGTGTGTATATGTGTATGTAAATTGTACAATATGCAACCAACAAATTTCTTTTTTATTAGGTGAAACATTTTATTAAAACTAATCAATGGAATCAATTGGGTATTTCGATTTTACTTACTTCGTGTTACAATCAACCAAAAAAAAAAAAGAAGAAGATGAAATTGGGTACTTTCTGTCCTCAACAAAATTTTGTAATACTTTCTCTTCATTAACAACCATATATCCTTTAAATCAATATTTGGATTGTTTAAATGAAATTGCAATTATAACATATTTTGTAAACATTACTTTTTCAAATCACTAAGTGACTAGTTAAACTTCTACATTTTTTTAATAAGTAAAAGTGTTTGAATCCAAAACCTCTTGTTTACACTTCTTTCCACTTAATCATCCAACCTAATCTTCCCCCCTTAAACAATTAACTCTAGTGTATTATAAAGTAAACCACGTGATTAATTCACCATGAATATTTCAAAGGGATAATTTTAGAAACCTCTCCCCTCAAGTTTATTAAATTACACCTACCTCCCTTACTTTTACTATTTATATAACAATATAGGCCCAAAAGGCTATTTTTTCTCAAAAATTCTAAACTACCCTTTTTGTACAAAAGTAAAACAAAAATTATGTTGCCAATTGTTTTCTCCTATATTTCAACCAAGCCCACTATACTAACAAACTAGCCTAACAAATAGTCTAATTCCAAATTCTAAACCTAGCAATTCCATCATCATAGTCATAAAATTGCTTCTTCAAAAACATGCATTCAATTTTGAAGATTCGTTCCATCCTTCAGAAATATTCTCACCACATGGTTCCATGAAATGGTTAAACTCATAATCAACTGCTCTGGTTTGGTACCATATAAGTGACTCAACTCCTACTACATGAGCCACATTATGGCCCTGAAGAAAATCCTTAGGAGAGATTAGGCACGAATGGGATTAATCAAGTTTAAGAGAAGGAAGGTATCATAATGACTATACAGATCTTCAAGAATTTCATTTTGCCAAAAATCAAAATTTTATTTACAACTAATCACACCCTAAACTTCAAACCCAATGCTCGCACATTCTCAAAACAAAATAATCTAGCCTACCATCAAATCTCCAAACATGTTAATATCTTAAGAATAGAGAAGGAACTCTATCTCCATAATGAAATCACAACCAACAATTGTCGAGTATAAAAAAAAAGTATAAATATACTTATTAATATCTTAAAAAGTTTTTTTGGATGGATGATAGACAAATTAGAAAATTTACCAATTTTAGTCCCTCTTCCTCTTTTGGCTAATGATTGCATTATTTGTTCTATTATTATTGTGTGCCTCTTCATCTCCTTTTTTGTTTGTCCATGAAATCAAATTTTATTTCAACGATCAAATCTAATCCTTCAACTAAACTTGGGATTTAGGAATTCCAAAGAGAAGAAAGGAGAAATAAGAATATACAGTAGAGTTTGAGAGATCACTTGTGGTATGATTTGCTGCAGTTATAAGCAATGGTTGGTGGTAATTTGAGAGTAAGTTATAGGAGGCAGTGATTGATAGATGAGAACGGAATGACAGTAAGTGTGAGAGAATCGTCGTTAGTTATAACTTGTAAACAGGATAGGCAAAGAAGTCAGGTTTCTTTTTCTTTTTTTAATCTCATTTCATTATACAGTGAATTATTGATTAAATGAAGGTCATTACAGTCATTTTATTGTCACAATAGAGGTCAAGGTAATTTATAAAACCTAAGGGGAGCCAAGTGAAATTGTCATAAACCTCAATGGAGGTTTGTGAAATTATCCCTATTTCAAAAGCGAAGAAACCGATCAAATAGTGAAATACTACCTTAGATTTCGCACGTGAGAAGAAAATGAAAATTAAACCTTGCTGAGCTAAGCCGCGTGTCCATGATTTCATTCTCTTGACCTTTTCTAAACTGAAGTCTAGAAATTCGGCTTTTATAAACCTAATCCCAGAAGAAACCTCAAAAGCCGGCAACTCTTGAGGTCCTTCCAGGACTTATAAACCAAACCCAAACCCCCCCCCAGAACCGATCACATTTGAGATATATGGTCTGATGAACCTTGCCAAGCTAAACCGCGTGTTCATTCATTCACATTTGAGAATCCTCATCAGCTGTAGAAGCAGAAGATGATGGCGATGCAGAGAAGAGTTTCTTCTGCCATAATTCTTTCCATTGCTCAGTCTCAGGAAGCAGCAGCAGCTTCATTAGGTACCACTGCTACTGCTAGGTGTACTACTCTTGCTTCATTTCTCTCTGCATTCCCAAACCCTAAAGCCCAATTAGCTTTTTATTCTGTTGTTAGTGGCAAAGTTAAGAATTATTCTGGAAAATCTCTGAAGTTTCAACCTGGATTGAGGAATGATATTAATAATGTCGACAGTCTTCATGATGCTCTGAGCTTGTACCGGCAGATGGTCCGGATGAGGCCTCTGCCTTGTGTTATTCAGTTCAATCAATTGTTGGACCGTATTGTTAAGATGAAGAATCATTATGTATCTGCTATTTCCCTTTTTAGAGATATGTGTGTCAAGGGCATTCCTGCTTATGAGGCCACCCTCAATGTTGTGATTAATTGTTACTGCCTCTTGGGTCGAGTGGATTTGGGGTTTCCTGTGTTGGCTGCTTTCATGAAGCGTGGTCTTGTTGCTGATGTAGTCACCTTTAGTACTCTACTCAAAGGACTCTTTCGAGAACATAGGGTCCCCCAGGGACAAGAATTGTTTAAGAAGATAATATTCGAAAAACTTTGCAAGCCCGATGAAGTTATGTTTCTGATTGTGATAGATGGACTCTGTAAGGTGGGGAACATTCAAATGGCCATTGAATTCCTAAGAGTCATGGAAAAAAGAACATGTAAGCCCCATGTTAAAGTGTACAATACCATCATTGACGGCTTTTGCAAAGATAAAATGGTCGACGAAGCTCTTGCCCTTTTGCAGGAGATGATTGAAAAGGGCATTCCCCCAAATGTTGTCACTTACAGTTGTTTGATTCAAGGTCTGTGCAACTTAAGCAGATGGGAGGATGTTAGCAAGATCTTTTCTGAGATGAAGGTTTATAAAATTATTCCAAATGTTATTACTTTCACTATAGTGGTGGATGCACTGTGTAAGGAAGGGCATATAGAAGATGCTGAAGATGTAGTCCAGATCTTGATCCAGCAAGGTCAAAATCCCAATCTGGTCACATACTGTTCCTTAATGGATGGGTACTGTTTACAGAGGCGAATAGATGACGCAAGGAGAGTTTTCAATACCATGGTTGCTAGCGGCCTTACACCTGATCTCCATAGCTATGGTATTCTGATAAATGCCTATTTCAAGACCAAGAAAGCGGAAGCAGCCATGAATCTCTTTCGAGAGATTCAGCATAAAGGTTTAACACCTAATATTGTTGTTTATACCACTGTCTTGCAGGGGTTATTTAGTTCAGGAAGGTATCTTAGTGCACTAGAAATTTTCAACGAGATGCAAGCTTCTGGCATGAAGCCTGATTTTCATACTTACTGTGTGGTGTTGGATGGATTATGCAAGACTGGACATGTCGACGAAGCATTGCAGTTATTCCATGCAATGGAAGCTGATGGAACAAATATTCACATTGGAATGTACAATATCATGCTTGATGGGTTGTGCAAAAGCAGGAGGCTCGATAGTGCTCGAGAACTTTTCAACAATCTCTCCCTTAAAGGATTGGATCCTGATGTTAGAACATACAGCACCATGATTGCTGGTCTGCTTTCAGAAGGTCTGCTCATCGAAGCCAAAGAGCTTGTTAAAAAGATGGAGGGGAAGGGTTGCCTGCCAAATGATTTTACATACAATATTATACTGCGAGGACTCCTTAAGGGAGGTCATTATGATGATGCGATGGTCTATTATGAAGAAATGGTTCATAGAGGATTCTTGCTGGATGCATCTACTTTTTCCATTTTACTTGATTCATCTGTTGAAAATCAGAACAATTCTTCTCTATTAATGTTGATGCTGAAGCTTGATCCTGATTGCAAGAAGCTTATGGATGGGGGACAAAGAGGACCTTCACATTAGTTGCAACATGTTGGTCCTGCTATTTATTTTGGCCCCTGAACTTTAATTTGCAGGAACTAACATTACTTGGGTTTGAATTGGATCCTGTTGTCACTTATCATCTTTGATGCAACTGAGCCTTAAAGGAGATCTCTTGGTCATATTTTGTGAAACACCTCCACGGTCTTTAGTTTGGTGGAGAAGCCGCATTACTTAGGGAAGTTCAATTGACAAGTGTGGCAGATCAAAGAAATCTGCTGCCGTTAATTGGATTTGTACCACTTCTTCTAAAAGACTTCTTGTTGATCTTTCCATGGAGAACCTCAGTGTGGCATATCACTTAAATGGTAACTTGTACAGGTTCATTTTGTTCATTATTCATGGGTGTCAGCAATTTAGCTTGCCTGTCAATTTTACTTCAGATAGCTAGTATTTGATTTTATTGGAAATGAGAAACAAAATGGCATATGCAAATATAGTTTGTGACTTTGAATTTCAAGAGAAGTTTTAAGCTGCATTTCTGTAATTTCGAGAAAACTTTTTCTAAGATAAAATTGTTACTTTTATTTTAATTCCTACATGGTGCCAAAAGTGCAGCCAGTTCGAAAGTGTAAAAAACTTTCTTGCTTTGGATTCACAGTTTGAGGTGCCATAAATAGGCATGGTTATTGATTTGTTTTAACTGCGTTTGAGTGAACCCAAACTTTTTAAGTATGATCCAAAAAAATGTTCTGATCACTTCCCATTTAATTGTCAATGCTGTACTAAATTATACAGACATTCAGTAGAAGTGTAGCAAAAATATCGTTCTTTTGCAGTAACCTTGAATAGTTCATCCAAGAAACTCTCCGTCCTTTTGTTTAAACAAATCTAGGTGTTGTTTAGTTGTTTATTGACAATAGGCTTGATTATTGGATTCTTTAATATTAATATTTGGTTGTTGCTGAGTTGCAATAATAACTAAAGAATAGGTTTTTATTGCACAGCTGCTATTGGGTCACCATCTGCAATAAAAGAAAAAAGTCTTACTGGCACATCACAATGGTACCAAGATATTTTTTCTAGTCTAGCAAGTTCCATATCTATCAATTTTTTTTAAATCTTGTTCATTTTTGGTGGAACAGGCGAGCAGTGGAATTTGTATCGCAGACTGAAGATTTGACGTCAGCTCAGACTTGATAGAGACAGTTTACTAGGTATTGAAACATATGGAAATAGTTATGATGAATTTTATATGAAAGGAATTGGCTGAAGTGATCAAGACTAATTTTTTACATCAGGGAAGATTTTTTAACTTCAAACCACGTCTTAGATAACGTTAGTTTAAATTGAATTGTGAGAAAATTAAGGGAAAGTCTTAATTTTATTTTATTTTATTTCTCGGTGACAAACATTGAATGACAAGTCTTGCATTGAATTTTTATGCAAGAGATCTGTTTTACAACGGTTCAAAATCATCCAAATTAACTGTCCTACGGACAACTTAATTATCTTTTCTAACAGCTTTAGAGGAGGATCCCCAATTTTGTGCAACAACATCCAAATTGTTAGACCGAAAAACTAATCTTGTTTCTGGATGCAGGAAAAAAGTTTGTGATAAAAGCTTTCTGTTAATGGGATTTTTTGTAGTAGCATCTATTTTGTGTAGCTGGTTCAGTTTGTGAAGAATTTCATCACAATATTCATTCCTACAGTATGCAGTAAATTTGAATTATTTACTGGAAAGATACTCACCATAGAATGGAAATAGTGAATGTGTATCTTGAATACCAGTAACCATTTTTTGTTTGTCATAAAATTCTTTGACAAGGTATTATTGGTCACTGAGGTGGAATTGGGAGATATTCATTGATTTTGCTAGTTATGACTGGGCATGATCTGCAGTGATATGAATGACCTTTCAGTAATTGTATAGTATCTATTTGTGCCTGTGATAAACCTTAAACCTGGAGAAAAAGGCCTGGACTGACCTAGTAGAAAAGAATTTCTTTTGATACAGCGCATGGCCTGGAGTACCTGCATGAGCATTGCAATGGTATAATTGTTCACCCTGATTTAAAGCCTCGAAACGTCCATCTGGATGATAACTTGGAAGCTTTCTTCGGTGGATACAAAATTATCAGATTGCAACTTAAATCCAGGGAACTGTGGGACACATTGCCCTTGAATAGTTGTATGTTCCTGCTGTGGTCTTATCGGTGCATTAATGAAATGGGTAAATACCTTGATTAGTGGTGTTGGAATATTTGAACTAGCTTAATTGATCTCTTTATTTAGCATTTTTGTCAAAGTTTACACTGTTGTCAAACTGTTATCATTAATCTTGAGTGATTGCAATTTGCAAACTAATCTTTGTCTTTGGCGGACTTCGTTTCTTTGTTAGTCAATTAGTAGGTCTTGGTTATTGAGTTGGTTGCCTCTAGTTCCAGTTCTAATTAAATTGGAAAGTCTCTTGTAGTGTTTGACTAGGTTGTTTTACTGTAGCAGATGTTTATGTCTACTGGGGCTGCTGCAATTTTTTCTGTACACCATAGAGCCTTCATGGCACCCACCGAGTTGCATCTGAAGGAAACCCCAATCTTGATGAACTTCGGTCTAACGTCCAATCCAAAGCCAGCTTTAAGTTGAAAGACATTGGTCCTGAGATACTGGTCCAAACCATTTGTGAATTGGATTGTGGTTAGTCGTTGGACCAAGTTCATCTAAATCTGAGCTGGAATGGATATGCATTGCTTTTTTGAAGAAATTCGTGCATTTCTGCTCGTAAGTATGTGTCCGCTAGTTGAAACTAAGTTGTTGAATGATTGCTTGTCCAGGACATTTGCATATCTGTTGTTTATCTTTCACAATTCTACTTGATTCTTCTTTCGTTTAGTACTGCCGTCAGTTAATGTTTGTCTTTGACCATGGAAAGGCAGAGTTTGTGTGTGATTGTGATGACTGATATTCATCCTGCAAGTTTGGGGTGTTTTCTTTTTTTTTTTTTGGGGCCCCCTTTTATAATGGGAAGAGTTCTAGAATTGAAATCTTGATGCATTTCGGTGGTTTATTTTATTATCTTTATTTTCATATGTTTAAAAGAGGCTAGGGTCATAAATGTGTCATGAAATTCACTGGTTTCTTTTGGGTAGGGGTGAGCAAACGGTGCATATTCGATAATTCGATTATATGAATTCGGTAAATTCAGTTATTGGACTTACAGAAATCTAAACCGCTTTCAAATTCGAATTGAAAATACCCGAATTCATTCAATTCCGAATTTGAATTCGAAAACGGTAATGAATTCGGGTAAACCGAATTCATTTTAAAAAAAATTTGTTGAATCCTTTAATTGCAGTTTTCGGCCTAATTAAAATAATAAGTATTATAGTTATACTATATAGTTATGTATTATACCTATACTTAATTAAATATTATCTAATTCTAGTCATGTATAAAATAATAAGTACTATAGTTATGTTATGTATTGTTGTATATTTGTATTATTATAGTCATATAACAATTAACAAATACTAAAATAGTAGTAGATTGTACATCATTATCATTATATATTATTATTATCATAAGTACATGATAATATCATATACTAACTATTATTAATAGCATTTACCTATATAATATAATAATATATTAGTAGTATATACTAATACTAAACCAATTCTTTATAAACGAATTCGAAATCGGTTATTATCAAATTCATAATCTCATTACCTATTTCATACCGTATTAGAATTCAGTGAATTCGGTAAATATCGCTTTTGTACAAAATTACCAAATATTCGATTTCAAATTATCAAATTGAATTTGAATTCGAGTATGAATTCGGTACGTACCAAATTTGCTCACCCCTACTTTTGGGAATGTCTTGAACGGATTCAGCTTTCGATTAAAGGTGGATGTCTGGTTGTTCTTGAATCCTCAGAGTTTGTCTTTCCCCTTGTTTGCAGAAGCTATTGCTTCTTTTCTTCTTTAGAGGATTGAATAACAATTTGACATCCTGATTTCTGTATACTGCGAATGTTTGGCATTCTGGCAACTAGATCTGTTTAACTATTTTTGGAGGCAGTTGCCATGTTTAACATTTATTATTTCTGAATTCTCAACTTTCCAAGATGGCAGAGTATCTTCAAATGATAAGGCGCAGGAAACATGCAGGCATCAAGTATGATTTTTTTTAAGCTCAAAAAAAGTATGATTTTTTTTATTTAGTTTGTTTTATTAAGTTGTTAAGCAAGGTTATAATTTGTTAGTTTTCATACCTTAACTGATTTGGTGAATTTAAAAAGTCTCAACGTGACTTTTAAAGAATCACAAAACAGCCATCATCTCCCTCCCTCCCTCAAAAGGATCGAAAGTGATGCTCAACCTCATCCTTGGTGAATCAAACTTGCATCCTGTCGGTGAAGAGTAAACTCATGAAATATTTTAGTGTATGTATTTTTTAAATGAATTTACTTGGACCAATACATGATTTTCTTTTAGTCTTTTTGGGGTCGGGTCTCTCATGCCACGCCTCTCTACACGCCAAGCGTCCTTTCTCCTCGACCTTGGAGAGGCGAAAATTAAGACGACAAAAAAAAAAAAAAAAGAATCAACCGTTCAACTATTCATTTCCTTTATTTTATACTGAAATCAGTGAAATTTCAACAGAAAAACAAGGAATAATTCAGAATGAATTTAAGTCTTAAGAAACTTCTGAGTTATGGGAGTGACTCAACCAATGAGTATAAGCTCCATTATCATTTGAAAAAGTCAAAATCTTCTAATTTTCCTTGCCACATATGGTCTGAATTTTTGCTCTATTCTCTTTTTTTTTTCCATTAACAAGGTAGTCAATACATGTATTTAAGATTATTAGCGTTGATCAAGTGACTAAAAGAGTTCTTGTTGCTAGGTTTAGGAGAGTCAGTCGGGCTTTATGAACTGTATTTTGACATACCCAAGGTTTAAAATATAAATGGGGCTTTCGGATTTTCGGGCTTTGTAATTCATCATTTAATATGAATTTGGGCTTATATTGGGTTCAATCCAAACTCATTATTAACTGCATAATTATATATAATATATTAATATTTAGGAATTATTATGAATTTGTATATAAAGAACTACGGTAAAATATAGAAAATCTCCTTGAAGTTATGCGAACATAAAGAAATATCTTCTATAGGCTATAGTTTCAAAACATACACTTCGGTACTTCATGGTTTGGACTAATTTTAAAAAGTGACGGAAATCGTCCAAATAACGAATTTGGAATTCATGCGCTTCTTTTGCGAGTATTTGTATTGGAAACAAACAAATTTTTAATTGATATACTTATTACATTCATAGAATTATAATACAGAATAGTTCTCATGTGATTAAACAAATCTACAGAAAAAAATCCTTTATAATTTTAAATCATACAATCCAGTACCTCGTAGTTTGAACTAATGTGAAAAATCGGCAAAAATCATTTAAATTGACGAATTTGAGGTTGCTTAACATGTAGACATCAAGTATGATTTTTTTTTAAGCTAAAAAAAAAGTATGATTTTTTTTCTTTTGTTTGTTTTACTAAGTTGTTAAGCAAGGTTACACTTTGTTATTTATCGCGCCTTAACCAATTTGGTGAATCTAAAAAGTCTCAACGTGACTCTCAAAGAATCACAAATCAAAGTAGCCATCATCTCCCTCCCTCCCTCCCTCAAGAGGATAGAAAGTGACACTCAACCTCATCCTTGGTTAATCAAACTTGCATCTTGTAAGTGAAGTGACTCGACCAACGAGTATAAGCTCCATTATTATTTAAATAAGTCAAAACCTTCTAATTTTTCCTTGCTATATATAGTTTGATTTTTTTGCTCTATTCTTTTTTTTTTCATTAACAAGGTAGTCAGGACATGTATTTAATATTATTAGCATTTGTCAAGTGGTCAAAAGAGTTCTCGTTGCTAGGTTTGGGAGAGTCAATTAGGCTCTATGAACCGTTCTTTGACATTCCCAAGCTTTAACATAAATGGGGCTTTTAGGCATTTCGGCTCATCATTTAATATGAAATTTGGGCTTATATCAGGTTTGATCCAAGCTTATTATTAACTACTACATAATTATATATAATATATTAATATTTATGAATTATTATGAATTTGTATATAAAGTATTAAATTTAATGTTATAATATGTATAATTATATATTATATATATCATTTAATATGCAATTATATGTATATTACATATAATTATACATGTGAACAGTTCAAGCTTTAATTGGGTTTAAGCCTAGTAAATAACATTTCTTATTAGATAAAGTAGGAGAAATTCCACTTTGTCTCTTTATATTGTCCCCTAACTCTGTGAAGTGATTAGTTATGCCCTACTTTGAACCAAAAAGACATACACTATGAAATGAAGTATTATTTGAAATCAAAAGAAGAATTTTAGACTTTGTGTGCATAAAAATGAACCAATGATGTTTATTTGCAATCGCCTTCAAAATTAAAAGTGTACATAGTGCAATAAGGATATATGTAGTTTTGATTCTCAATATTTGGTACTTGTGCGATTTAAATCTGTAACATTTCAACGAAAGCAAATCTGATCTATAATATTTGGCATTAAGTATGGCTTCTTTTTTAGTCCCTATGGTTTCATCAAAAACAAATCTAAGCCTTAATATTTGACAGGTGTCGAGCCTGTACAATAATAAATGCCTGCTCAAACAAAATATGATTTTTATAGATAGTGATAAGCAGGGTCGTATCCTCAGGGATTGGGGATATTTGTCTCTTTGAAGTTTCTATTGGCAATGGGGGTTTTATCGGAATAAAGCTAAAAACAATTAAGTAATTCAACAAAAAACAAACAATTAACTAATACAAATGTAGACAGGAATTAAATCAATAATAGACAAATTCTAGCCAAGGATACAACTTCTCAAACGCAGTCCATTTATCCGATCATTGATGCAAGGAAGGCTCACTTAATTTGTTAATAGATTAGTTATAGTCGCCAACAAGCTCTGATAACTAGCTTTTCCTTAATTTATTGATAACCAAGGCACGACCATTAATTACCCCTAATCAGGAAGCACTCCTAGGTACAACTGTAGGAGTTCATCCCTTAATTGCATTAAGAGTTAGAAAAGCCTAACTCTAATCAATAAAACGCTACGAGGGTTATTTAGATCAGATCACACGTTCCCCTAGTGTGTATAAACGCTAGTTGCCACTGATATTAATCGATTAAACAATTACGAATTTAATTGATTAATTTAGCAGGAGATTAAAAGTCACCTTGAATATCGGGCCCTTGACATCCAATTAACAAAATAATCTCATAAAAATTCAAATAAAAAAACATACAAATATCAACAGATTAAGGAACGCATGAAAACTAATTCGATCTCACAGATATTCGGAACTGCATCGTCGCGTTGATTATTGACTAGATGAAAAGTTTAGTCACGCCTCATGAGAAAATTTTCACGCAATTTAATTGATTTCGAAAACATCTCCTTTTGTCTAATACAAATCCAGAATAAAAACTGTTTTTCCGTTGGCCTAATAGCAAGAACGGAAGAAGCCAAAAACAAAGAAACGAAGAAACGGGACCAAAAAAACAAAAGAACGAAGCTGTCCCTAATCTAAACAATCACCAGCCTTTTTTCTAGTTGGGCCCCTCCGAATAAGGAAAAAAAAACAAAAGGTAAAGCACTGCCGAATGTTCCTTGTCTTCCGTTTCCTAATACTAGTAAAACTCCCTAATACTAGTAAACTCCTAGTCAGCAAAAGGAAAGGACTCTGTTGTAGCATAATGTGGAGCCAAATTTGTAAATATCTTGGAAGCTTTCCACGTGCAGAGCATTCTCTCAAGAAGGTCTCCCTTTTTAGCACTTTTCTGCTCCACTTCCTGAAATTAGATCCAAATACCAAATATAAGTATATGTTAACACTTAAAATAATATCTGGCAAAGGCAAAAAGGGAAATTAACCATAAAATTAATAACAAATTATGCCATATCAATTCCCCCTACATCTAAATCATGTT